ATGTCTGACCTCCGAGAGCAGCCTGATGGTGGTGCTCTCTGAGGAGTGGCACCTCTAACCAGTGTCTCACCTCCTGGTGACTCGGCCGAGAGGGTAGACCCTTCCCTCGAAAGCCTGGCCTAGCTGGCCCAGAGATCTGGGCTCAGGCCCAAGTCGAGGAAACAAAACCTGGGAGATGCCAGAGTCTGTTGGCCCAGCCTGCTGGGGAGCTGTTAAAAGGCTGAGAAGGGAGGAGCCTTGCGATTCTGGCATCAGCTTGGCTGGGACTTGGCTTTTTAAAATGTGAATCTCTTTAGCATGTGTGAACAAGAACTTTGTCATAGATGAGCAACCTAGTTGGGTTTTCTAGCGGAAAAAACCTTCCTTCATTTGACAGATGAAGAAGGGTGCTCAAGCCCAGAGAGGAGAGGATACTTGCTAGGGTCACACAGCCAAGTGGAGGGAAGGGAAGGGACCACCAGGCCAGGGGCCTGGCAAAGGAAAATGTTCAAGAAACAACCAGTAAGGATGACTGACCACTTTCTCTGCAGCGTATAAACTAGGTGCTCAGTAAATACATGTGGATTACAGCACAGCCATGGCGACCTGTGGAGTTTCCAGGCACCTCGGTGGGCCTTGGGAGGCAAGATAATGTAGAGCCCACAGTGGCCTGGAGGGGAGAGGCAAACTACCTGGTCCAGATCCCACTTGGAAAGCATATCCTGGAAGTGGGATTTTTTTCCCCATAACAATTCATTAGGTATAACTCACATACCATACAGATTACTCACATGAAATGTACATAACACTGGATTTTAGTGTATTCGCACATATGTGCAGCCATCACTGCAGTTAATTTTAGGATACTTTTTTTTTTTTTTTTAAGTTTATATATTCCTTGTGAGAGATGCAGCATGCCCCCCGCAGGTCCTTTCACTGCGAGCCATCCCCAGCCACAGCTGTCCTTGAGCCTGTGTAATCAAGGAGGTCTCTGGTTTCGAACCAATAACCTTCCTATGTGGGACTGCCTTGCAGAGCATTGTATTTTACTGTTACACCACTGTTTATCACCTTGAAAACAAACTCCCTATGCTTTAGCTATCATCCTTCTAGCATCTTCCCCTACACACACACCCCCCCAAACTAACTGCTAATCTGCTTCTGTCTCTAGAGTTGCTGAACTTTTCATTACAAATGGAGTCATGTAATAAGTGGCCTTTTGTAATGAGCATCTTTCTCTTAGCATAACTCGTTGAAGGTCTATCTGTATGGCACGTTATCAGGTCTTTTTGTAGCCAGATAATGCTCTAGTGTATAGCTAGACCAAGTTTTATTTATCTGTTAATTTGTTGATTAAAACTTGGATTTCTGTGTTGAGGCTATTATGAATAGTGCTACTGTGAACATTGTGAGGGTTCTTGTGGACAAAGGTTTTTGTTTCTCATGGGTAGATACCTGGGAGTCAAACTGCTGGGTTCTATGGTAATTTTTTTTAAGAGTTATTTAATCGTATTTGTTTATTATTATTTTTTAGTTTGATTATTAGTTTAGTTTGGTACTAGAACCATGGTCAGCCATGGTTCAACACCTTAACCACTATGCCCCCTGCCAACCCTCCATGGTAATTTTTTTTTTCTTTTTTTGGAGAGGTTTTGGGGCACGTGTGCTCACCAGACAGAGAGAGACAGAGAAATCACCCCCCAGGGGGGATGGCCACGCTGCAATCCCTTCTCCTCCATTCCCCTCTCGGGATCTTGGGCACGCATGCACATATGCCCAGCGTGAGTTTAAGCCATGGGGTTCGAAACTTGAACCACAGTCGACTACGTGGGAGTCCAGCGACATAGCCATTATGCTAACTGCTGGTCACCCCATGGTAATTCTTACATTTAATCGCCATAGTTTCTTGGGTAACTTTTTTCTTTCTTTTGGAATGATTTAATTTTATTTGTTATTTTTTAAATTTGACTGGAGAGAGGGAAAGTGAGAAAATAAGCTGCCAGGTACGGGACTTAAACTGCGGTCAGCCTTGTGGGAGTCCAGCACCTCAACCGCCATGCCACCTGTGGGCTCTGGCTTCTCTTTTAGTTTTGTTATAGGGCATGCGCTTTCACTAGCAGAGAGAGAGAGAGAGAGAGAGAGAGAGAGAGAGAGAGAGAGGAGCCTGCAGAGGGATGGCTATGCTCACAGTTCCTCCTCTTCTGTTCTCCTGCGATTTGGGGACATACACACACATCAGGCATGTTTTTTAAGCCACTGGGTCTGGGACTTGCACCTTGACCACAAGGCCACTGCTGGCACCAGGTATTGCGTTTTGTTTTGTTTTGCTAGAAGGCGCATTCACTAGCTCCTAAGAAACAGAGGGAGAAAGCACTCCCTGTGATGAGTGGTCATGACACAACCCTTCTCCACCTTTGTGCCCTGTGAGGATTTGGGGCATGTGTACACCCAGCATGTCTCACAAAGCCATGAGGTCAGCCCTGTGGGAGCTGGCCATCTTAACCTGGCAACAGAGCCAGCCTGATGGCTTTTTGTTTTCTTTTTAAGAATGATTTTATTTAACTTCCTTCCTTTCCTTCCTTCCAGAAAGGGACAGGGCCGGGGGGGGGCGGGGTGAGAAAGCAAGCCACACACAGGTCTGGGACTCGAACCATAGTCAGCCATGTGGGAGTTCAATGCCCTTTACCACCTGCCGGCTCTGGCTTGCTTTCTTTTTTAACAATTATTTTGAAGTTTAACTTTGTTTATTTATTCATTTATTTTGAATTTGACAGAGAGAGACAGTTGAGAGAGAGAGTGAGAAAGCAAGCCAAGTCTGGGACTCAAACCATGGTTGGCTATATGTGGCCCCATTTTTTTTTTTTTCTTTTTTAAGAATTATTTATTTGGGACCAGCAGTTGGTGTAATGGCTATGTTGTTGGAATCCCACGTAGTCAACTGCAGTTCGAGTCCCGAACCCGGTGGCTTAAACTCACACCGTGCCCAAGATCTCGAGAGGAGAATGGAGGAGAAGGGATTGACGCATGGCCATCCCCCCTGGGGGGGTGATTTCTCGCTTTCTGTCTCTCTGTCTTTCTGGCGAGTGCGTGTTTCCTATAGCAAAAACCTCTCAAAAAAAATTATTTATTTGGGGTCAGCAGATGATGTGGTAGTTACATTGCTTAACTCCCACATGGCTGACCGTGGTTCAAGTCTCAGACCTAGTGACTTGAAACTCATCCCCGGTGCGTGTTCATGAGTGACCAAGAGCCTAAGAGAATGGAGAAGGGATTAGAGCGTGGCCATTCCCCCCAGGGAGGATTTCTCGCTTTTCCTCTCACTGTCTCTCTGTCTGTCTGTCTGTCTGTCTCTCTCTCTGGCAAGCCCATATGCCCTATAGCAAAATCCTGTATAAAAAATTATTTAATTTTATTTAAAGAATTATTTTGGGGCCAACAGGTGGCATGGTGGTTATGGTGCTGGACTCCCAAGTGGCCAACCACGGTTTGGGTCTTAGACCTGGTGACTTGCTCTCTCATTTTCTCTCTCTCACACTCTCTCTCTCTTATCAAATTTAAAAATAATGATAATAATAAATATTTTTTAAAAAGAATAGGGTTGTACTTAAAAAAATTTTTTCTTTAACTTTGTTTTAACTTGACCAGAGAGGAACAGACTGAGAGAGAGCATGCATAAGAGAGAATTCGGGAAGGGACCAGCAGTTAGCGTAATGGCTATATCGCTGGACTCCCATGTAGTCGACCGCGGTTCACGTCCCGGACCCGGTGGCTTAAAACTCACTCCGGGCACGTGTGCGTGCGTGCCCAAGATCCCAAGAGGAGACTGGAGGAGAAGGGATTGTGACATGGCCATCACCCCTAGGGGGTGATTTCTCGCTTTCTGTCTGTCTCTCTCTGGTGAGCGCACGCGCCCTATAGCGAAAACCTCTCCAAAAAAAAAAGAAGAGAGAGAGAATTGGGGAAAGTGAGAAAGCGAGCCGCCAGGTCCAGGACTCAAACCACAGTCCGGCTGTGTGGGAGTCCAGCACCCCCAACCACCATGCCACCTGCTGGTCCTCCAGTGGCTTGTTTTCTTTCTGTTTATTTTTTTAGAGTTTTTTTTTTTTGCCTTAGAGCATGTGTGTGGGTGGGTGGGGAGAGGTTGGATAGCCATGCTGCAATCCTTGCTCCTCTGTTCTCTGGAATCTTGGACATGCAAGCACATATACCTGGTGTGATTTTCAAGCCATCAGGTCTGGGACTCAAACTGTGGTCAGCCCTGTGGGAGTCCAGCAATATAACCACTATACCATCTGCTTGCTCTGCCTTTTTTCTTTTAGAGAGAGATTTTTTGCTATAGGTCACATGGGCATAGACTCCATTGGATATAGAGAAAGTGAGAAATCACCCCCCAGAGGGGATGGCCACACCTCAATCCCTTCTGCATCTTCTTCATTCTCCTCTCGGTATCTCGGGCATGTATGCACATGTGCCTGGTGTGAGTTTCAAGCCTCCGGGTCTGGGACTTGAACCACAGTTGGCCACGTGAGAGTCCAGCACATTAACCACTACTCCATCTATTGCCCCCCACCGTGACTTTTTTTTTTAATAATTTTTTTAACTTTATTTATTTTTCATTTGACCAGAGAGAGACAAAGTGGGATGGGGGAAGAGCAAGAAAGCAAGCCTCCAGTTCCAGGACTCGAACTGCAGCTGGCCATGAGGGAGTTCAGTACCCTTAACCACTCCTGGCCCCTCTTTCTTTTCTTTTTTTTCTTTTTTTTTTTTTTTGAGAGGTTGTTTGCTATAGGGCGCGTGCGCTCGCCAGACAGACAGAGAAACATAGAGACAGAAAGCGAGAAATCACCCCCCAGGGGGGATGGTCACGCCGCAATCCCATCTCCTCCATTCTCCTCTCAGGATCTTGGGCATGCACGCACACGCGCCCGGCGTGAGTTTTAAGCCACCAGGTCTGGGACACGAACCGCATTCGACTACGTGGGAGTCCAGCGACATAGCCATTACGCTAACTGCTGGTTCCCATGTGTTCCTGTTTTTGAAATGGAAGTGTTCTGGACTTAGTCTTCGAGCTTGCTCAGGCTGTTGTCGTATGGACTGAGATTGGGGATTGCAGCTCCCACATTTCTGATATCCCAGGCTCTAGTAATGGTGAACGTAAGTAGAGAAAAGGCAAGAGATGGTACATAATAATGATGTCCCCAATCCTGTGTCGCTTGTCCCAGGCCTGTCCGAGATCCATCCTAATCTCTCAGCACCATGTCGGATAGCGATCTAGGCGAGGATGAAGGCCTCCTCTCCCTGGCAGGCAAGAGGAAGCGCAGGGGGAACCTGCCCAAGGAATCCGTGAAGATCCTTCGGGACTGGCTGTACCTGCACCGCTACAATGCCTACCCCTCCGAGCAGGAGAAGCTGAGCCTTTCTGGACAGACCAACCTGTCAGTGCTACAGGTAAGGAGGGGATCTGGGTGAGTGGGCAGCAAGTCACCTGGGAGTTTTGTGCCCTGTCACTGGCTTATCGTGGCCTTGGGCTACTCACCTCCCCTCTCTGGGCCTCAATTTTTTCTTGGGTCAGGTGAGAACACCCACTGTCTCTCCCTCAAAGAAAAACAATGAGAGGTCACTGTAGCTAGAGTTCAGACTTTGGAGGGTTCTAGAGAGGCAAGATATTGATCATTATTAATATCTAGGTGTTGGGGCCAGCAAGTGGTGTAGTAGTTAAAGGGGCTGGATTCCCACATGGCCGACCGCTGTTCGAGTCCCAGACCTGGTGGCTTGCTTTCTCACTTTTCCCTTTTTCTCTGTCTCTCTCTGGTCAAATTGAAAAATAACAATGAAAACAAATGGAATGAAATAAAAGTAAATTTAAATAAATATCTAGGTGTTGTACTTGATATTAGAGGCATCCAGAGGCCAGGGGAAGGTGAGAAGGCATTGCGTCTCTGGAATTCTGGGATTCGGCCTCCTGCCTAGAGCACTGTTGAAGGTGGCAGCTGGTGATTTGCAGTATAGTTGAGAAATTATTGAAGAGGGCCAGCAGGTGGCGTAGTGGTTAAGGCGCTAGACTCCTACATGGCTGATATGTTCAAATTCCGAACCCAGCTGCTTGAAAATCATGCTGAGTGCGTGTGCACATGTGCCCAAAATTCCAGGAGGAGAATGGAGGAGGGATTGCTGATGTGGCCATCCCTGCTCGGGGATGCTTTCTCACTTTCCCTCTACTGTCTCTCCTCTCTGGCAAGCACACAGGTGCTATCACAAAACCTTAAAAAAAAAAAAAAAAGAGGAAGGAAGGTAGGAAGGAAGGAAGGAGTTGGAATTGTGGTCAAGAAAAGAGCAGAAGTTGGAGTTTCTGGATTAAAATCAGACTCTCCCACCTAGGCTGTTGGTCTTGATTTCCTTATCTATAAAGTGGGGATTAGATTCCTCCCCTGCCTCTGCCTGAAGGAACTGTTGGGAGAAATGGATGCAAAAGTGGATGTGAAAATACTTTGTAACCACACATGTGAACACACTCAGCATAGTGTTACGTCCCTTCTGTCAGAGTATAAAATAGCGTCCCTTGGGATTGTGCCTGTTGCTGGTCTTTCTGTTTTGTTTTGCTTTTATCTCCAGAAGGTGAAGTGCTTATTTAGGGAAGGGAAAAATCACCTCCATTGGGTCTGGTCATACCTAGCCGCCGGGTCTAGGACTCAAACCTCCGTCCAAGCAGGACTTTAGGTACATACACACAAGTGACCAGCATGTTATCCGGCTGGGTCAAACTGTGGTGGGCCTTGTTAGATTCATCTCCCGTGCACAGAGCCTGGCCCTGTGTTCTATTTTCATGATGCTGGGGATACTGGATTGTCATTGCCTTGTCTGCAGTTTGGCTCTCACCTCCCGGGGAGACACAGAGTAGGCCCTCAGCCTACTGTGGAGGCCCAGCCACTGCCCACCAGGCCCTGCTGTTGCCCTCATGAGCCCCATCGCTCCTGTCTATACTGCTGACTCTCCCTCCACCCCTGGCGCCGCTCTGAACCTCTCACTTCCCAGCTCCTGTTCCCCCTTGGTGAGCAGGCACCTCACTTACACCCACTGGACAGTGGTTAATCTGAGTCTCCACGACAGAGGGTCTAGAGTTACAGATCCTGACTCAGATTCTATCTTCTCCACAAGAGGAAGCCTGGACGTTGGCCAAGTCACTGCCTTCTCTAAGCCTCATTGTTGCCTCATCTGAAGAAAAGGAGATGATGGTAGTCCTACTCTTGTAGGATGTGGGAGGAGGCCTACAAGAATCCCAGGCTGGCGGTGAGATGTGGGGCAGCGACTGCTTCCCCCGGTTCTCATCGTCGTCTCTCGTCCTAGGTTGCAAGGTCTCCAACTGACCCTGGAGCCGAGCAGTGTGTAGAAGTTCACAGGAGTACCTCCTGAGCAACTGCCCCTGGGCACAGCTTCATGCTTAGGGGGAACCAAACACATTCCTGTTCCCAAGAAGCATCCAGTCATGGATCAGCCTGTGGCCTAGTGGTTAAGGCAGCTGGAGCCTTTTTTTTTTTTTTTTTGGGGGGGTTTTCTCACAGGGG